GTTGAGGTAATATATTCTGTTCTTTGATGGTGCTTGCTAGGCATAGAGACAACTGTTTTGCTTGTACATCCCTGGATCACAAGCAGATGGAAGTGCAAGATTGGAACAAATGCTATATTTGCCCCTCCTGATATGACAAACAGCAATGCAGATTGATGGGAAGGTAGAGACAAAGGTTTAGCACGCCCTGAGATTTGTCATGGCATAGAATCTTGGACTAGTGGATAGGATCTTGGACTAGGATCCTTGGAGACCCAGGTTCGAACCCCCATTCTACCATGGCTGCGGTCACACACACTAAATAATCCACTGTCAGTGCACTTCCCAACTGGATTGTGCCAGTTCACACAGTAAAAATCCAGTTTGAAATTGGATTATTTAGTGTGTGATCACAGCCCATGGAAGCTCACTGGGTGACTTTGGGACAGTTACACTCGCTAAGCCTACACTACCTCATAGGCTGTTGTGAGGAAGGACAGGAGCGGAGCAATGCTCCCTCTAAGCTGTGGAGTCTTGTGAGCAAAAATTCTACTTTGTGCACTACTGGCATTAAAGTTGTGACCAAGCAATCTGGCTACTGCATAAATTAGTTTGCTCTGGAGCCATCCATTCTGAGCTAAGACAAAAATGTGTGAGCCAGAGGCTAAAAAACTGTGAGCTAGCTCACACTAACTCAGCTTAGAGGGAACACTGGAGGGAAGAACAATGTTCTGAAGCACTTTGGATCCCCATCAGTTGAGAACAGCGACGGGGTACCCTTTGGCACTCTCATACAATCCCCCATAACTCCTCCCTCCAGGGAGGCTAGGGAGCTGGAATTCTTTCTGCCATCGTATATATTGTATGTATGCTGTTTTTATCTACTGGTATTTAGTGGTTTGTTTCAACTTAGTTTTAAACTGAGAGCTGTATACTATTCTGGCCCCGGTTACACGGAAGGTTTTGGACCGGGAGAGGGATGGATCGGGGGCGCAGCAAACGGGCGCGATCTCACCGCAACATCTGGGAAGCGGCGCACACCCGTCCCCGATCCGTTCCTAACCCCGGAAAACCCGCTGTAATAAAGAACCTCCTACAGAGGAGGACTTACCTGCAGCACCGCAGCAAGCGCGGTCGTGGGATTGCCGCCGCGCCTGTTGTGCGTATCAATCCCGGCTCCCCGCCGCACTGCGCATGCGCGCGCACACATGTGCAGTTCGGCTGCCGCGCTCTTCTTTCTGTGGCTTCCCCCCGGCATCTGATCGTGCTGGGGAGGAAGTGCGCGGCGGCTCAGGGGATCTATGTGATCCCGCCGCCGGGTGTCTCTTTTGGTGCGGCTTTAAAAAGCTACACTTTGCCCGTCCTTTTCCCCCCCTGTGTGGCAGGGACCTCTGTTGTAAGCTGCCCTGAGCCCTACTCATAGGGAAGGGCAGTCCAGTAAATCCAATTTAATAAATAAATAAATTAAAAGTGAAATATAAATAAATCAATGCAAATGCCCTAGACTATAGTCAATGCTGCAGACTGGGGAGTGGGATCAGCGCAAACATTAAACTTGCATCCCTCTGAACACTTGGCAGCATCTTCTTGGTGAAGTGTGTGTACACTGCAATGACTAATCCGCACACCCACACCCAAACAGGGTGTCTGCGGAATCTTTTTCCTACTGTGATGAAAATAACTTGGGGTAGAAGAATTAAAAATCCCCTCGCTCATGTTCCACACTGTTCCCCTTGAAATTTCAAGTACCACCTCCCGTAAAAATTGATTAAAAGGATCACAAAACTACATGTATAGTTTTGCCCTTAAATTAACTAACCACTAAGGCCTCAACAAGGCACAATGATCACATCTTCAGCCTACCTTTCACCTTAAAAAAAAAAATCTTGTCACAAGGCGTGAGGAGCAATCTGGATTGAGGCTGTAGCACTGAGAGCAACACTTCTCTCCTGGATGCCATTTCTTGGACAGACCCCCACCCTCACCCACTTGTTTGTTAGCCCCCAAAGGGTCTAATAGTGCATCAGGATTCATATTTATGTACAGCTTCTATCCAAGAAATGGCCTAATTAGAACTCCCTTCCCCCATTCCCACAACAGCTTTTAAAAGAAAATTGAAGATTTTTGACCACTCTTCTCTGGTATCTTTTCTATTTGAGACCCAAGGGAAAGGAAGAAAAAGTCATATGCCAGTGGCAGTAGAGCAGGCAGTGAGATTGGGTGGTGTCTGACAGCCATGTCATCACCTTTATGGCTGCACTAGTAAGCAAAGCCCGTCGTGGCGGTAGACGACGGGCCCTAGATAGGAAAAAAGCGCAAGTTGCGGCGATGACTGGCTCCCTCCCCTCCCAGCCACCCAGCCAATGGCAGGCCAGGTTCGGTGAGGGAGCCAGTCATCGCAGGCAGCGTCTTCTGAGTGGCATTTTTTCCGCCCATACACTAACGGGGCGCATTTTAGAATTCTGGCACCCAAAACCCTTTTATAATATAGGAGAGATGCCCAGTATACAAAGCACCATATCCCTATCAATTATTATGCCATTTGTGTTGATTGTGCCACATTACCTGTTTCTTTGGGTTGCCTTGCCAAATGCCTCCCTCTGCCTACCACTGCCAATAAAGCCAGGGGCCCTTTTTATTTTCTGTCTGAAATTTGGCAGGCAGGATCCCATGGGTGAGCAGGACAATCACTGAAAATTTCATTCTAACTTGTCTACATAGCAAAGAGTACAGCCTCAATAAAAAAGTGCTTTTCACCTCTCTTTTCAATGAGAAAAAATAACAAAAACAAGCAAGATTAGTAACAAACGAAATGAAAATAATGTTTTTTGAAAGAAAAATAAAATGTTTGAAATCTTGCATACTCCTGCAAACTTCGAACTGTGCTGAACCACACTGTTGCCTGTCTGGGTGTGCAACCGAGCAAGACCTGCCTGTCAGATCACTTTATGCAAGATGATGTGGCAATTGCCTTAAAAACCACATGCCATAATAAACCAGTCTCTGGAAGATGCCAGATGTCTCCCAGGTTAGCAATTTAGCCAGAGTCTGAAACTGCGTTATACCTCATACGCCTGTACTAATGTATGACCTGCTGTCTGATTCCCCCAACATATTGTCCCATTTTGTGAACTTTTAAAATGTATTTTATTTAGCCTGAAGACTGGATTCCCATTCTCCAGTGCTGAATCACACATCCATCCTGGTTTGATATAAAAAGGCAGCAAATTGTATAACTCTCCCCCCAACACACATGTACAAACCCTGCTCCATCTTACTATCTGTGCACTAGATATCACACTCGAGCACTAGATGTGGCTGAAGCCTGTTTTGACTGATCATCTGGATAAGCAGTTAAGTAACAAGCAGGTGTGTAGGGTTTCCATAGAGGAAGTGCTCAGCAAAAAGCTGGGGCTAAGGCTGCTGGCAAAGCTGTTTTCTCTGCTTAGCAGAGCCAGAAACAAAGAGGAACGGCATATAACTTCATGTCATTTTAACTGAAAACAGAAAGATGATTTTAGAAGGCCAATTTTCCTCAAGGAATACCAAGCAGAAAGCAAGCTGTAGTAATTTTCTTGAGGATTAAAAAAGTCTGAGATATTCAGTACTAACTGTTTTCTACATTTGGCACAGGACCATGAAAAGCTTTGTAGCAAATTGACAACATACATGTATCCTTTCTCACAAAGTGTAAGGAGTATCTGTCAGAATATAGCAGAGACAAGTTTTTGTATTAGAGAATCAGCAACTGTGGGAGGCATTTTTGGTCAGAGGAATGGCACGAGTGGGGAGAATTAACCCTCCAGTTTGGTGTAGTGGTTAAGGGCGCAGACTCTAATCTGGGAGAACCGGGTTTGATTCCCCACTCCTCAACTAGCACCTGGCTGGATGACCTTGGGCAACCCGTAGTTCTGATAAGAGCTGTTCTTGAAAAAGAGCAGTTTCTGTCAAGAGCTCTCTCAGCCCCACCTACCTCACAGGGTGTCTGTTGTGGGGAGGGGAAGGGAAAGGAGTTTTAAGCTGCTCTGAGACACCTTTGGGTAGTGAAGGGCGGGGTATAAATCCAATCTCCTTCTCCTCCTCCTTCTTCTTCCTTTCCTTAGCACTAGAGTCCCCGTCCATATCCCTACCAAAAGCTACTTTTTGTGGCTAAATGGCACATTTGTGGATACTAATGTCACATGCAGTTTTGCCTTCAGTCTCTTACTACATGTGAGGAAATGTGGAACCAGGTTTGTCTATATCCATGCCTTACTAGTATGTATCTATGGTTTAGTTCACACAAAGAGCACCTGAAGTAGAAGAACTGAACCTCTACATGACTGATTTTAATGTGCACCGAAGGGGGGAGGTATCCATACAGAAGCTTTCAACCATGTAGCCCTTCACCTGCTATCTGAAGTAGTTCAATTTAGGCACAGTTTTACTCTCTAATGTGTGAACTAGGTATTTGCTTCTCAGATTACTGAGTGGTTGTGCTTTCTTAATTTTATAAAAGTTTTGATCATTTTCACTGAAAATGGAGCTGGGCAGTATTATTCACAATTGGCTTCATAGGAAATTATTCTTAGGATACCACCACTACTTCTGTAACCCTATCACAGAGACAGCCACTCTTCTACAAATTATACTGGCTCCTCCACAGCCCATTCTCCATCTAATTAATACATAGCTGGCTTCCAAAGAAATGCATATTTGGAAACAAAGGGGGCATAATATTTCACAGTACATTTCTATGACTGTGAAACCAATCATCCATCACATTTCTAATTCTGTATGATCCCCTGGTTAGTTTCAAAATTTAATACATAAACTGCCTTGCTATTGCAACAACAACAGCAATTTGACTCAAGCAGAAAATTAACAAGATTGTCCTGACAGAACAGGACCCATCCTTTTATATATATATTTTGCAAACCAAAATAGTACACAATGTACATTTTACCTTTTCCTTTAAAAAAAGATAATGACAAACTTTTGGCACATTACAGCAAGAACACGAAATCCTTAGCACAGCATGATACAGTGTGACCAGTAGTTTTCTTCAATGGCTGAGGCCAAACAGAGTGGGAACCGCAATACCAAAGAACCACACTTCTGTATTTTGGATAAAGAAGCTTCCATGTTGTCCATCTTATATACATCAGGTGCAGCTCTAGGGCTCTAAGCATGTTTCCAGAGTAGAATAAGGTAGAATCATCACCATACTTCTCTACTTTGCATCTGTCCAGTATTGATATGTATACTCTATAATAATTTTTAAGCTGTCATTAGGTTTAGTTTCTGGTCCTTAAATTTCAACTTGGGGCTGCCTGTCTTCAGTGGCTAACCAAGGGTTCCTGTGCTAAGATTATCCTTATCAGGAGTCTGCAGCTGTTTCTCAGTCTCTCCGTTTACATTTTCCTTGCTTCCATTTTTCACAGGATCCGATTTCTTCTTTTCCAGACTCTGCTTCAGTTTGAGGGAGGAATCTCTCCTAGACAGAAGTGCTGGCTGGAAGCCACAAAATCCACTACTCAGCATCGTACGCTTGTCTGGAAATAGACACAAGTACATGGCACTCAGTGGTTGGTTTGTTTTTAAAAAGAATTGCCATGCACATGTTCATTGCTCTCACTCACTGCATCAAAGGGCTTTTCCGCATGCTCAGCTTACTCCCGATTTTCTTGGCAGTCAATCCATAAGCACTGGAATCAGCTTGGGCATATTTCTTCCACATGCCCTGCCCTCCCTCTGCATTTTCACAATTGTGGAGTCTGTTTATTTTCTTCTGCACATGCCTTAAATAATCAGGATTTTCAAAGAAGGGTGCTGTCATCATGGGTGGCATCACAGCACCCCCTTTTTATTTTTTGCACATGGCTTGTATCGATGTATCAGTATAATGGCTTTTTTAAAAGGGTGCTACAGTATCGATATACTGCTATAATGACAGGTTAAGCTGGTTCTCTAAATTCCCAGCTTTCATTAAAAAATGTAAGGCTCTAGCCCAGAGGTGTTGAAAGCATTTGCTACAAGGGCCGGATCTGACATAAATGTCACTTTGTCAGGCCAGACCATGTGTGCCATAAACTGTATAGAGGACAGCAGCTGGTAAGCTCCGAGTTGTTGTCTCCTCACTGCAAGGCCGCATGGGCTGGAAGTGGGGTGCAAAGGAAAACCCATATGGGCGGACTGGAGACCCAGTGGTGCAGTCCCGGGCAGATGCTGCTTGATTGCTGCAGACGAGGTTGTTCTGCCATGCTGAAGGCACAATAGGAGTGGCTCTGCCCACTTTCCCCCCGAGGAGTCTCCTGTCCCCTCTCATGCATTAGTTGACTGCGGGCAGCATAAGAGCCCTGGATGGGCCGGTTCCAGGCCCCAGGCCTTATGTCTGACACTCCTGCTCTAGCCCCTTGCTTTGTGGAGATATGCCCTTTTCCTTGTATCTCCATCACAAGGGGATAGAACCTTACTTTTTAAAAAATGAAAGCTGGGAATTCAGAGAACCTGCTTAGCCTATCGTTACAGCAATGTATCAATACTGTAGTGCCATTTAAAAACATGAAACCACTCATCTTCAGAGTGGGGGGGGGAGAGGGAGTGGTTTGATGATGGAAGCCCAATCCTTAAAAAGTGGGCTAGAGGTGCACAGGAGTGGGCAGTATAATGAAAACCAACAGAGACATTATGCATGAGGGAAAAGGCAATTCAAATGCAGCTTCTAGGAAAAAAAGATCAGGGTAAAAGTGGTCACAAAGAAACAGGAAAACCTCAAGGAGAAAACAAAACCCCCCCAAAACTGAAGTGATAATAAAGGTACAAAAATATGTGTGAAAATGAAGGAATATACTGGACCAGAACCAATGTTCCCTCTCAGGGGTCATTTCGTAGGAAAAGAGCTTTTAAAAACCCATGCGGAAAAGCCCAAAATACTTTCACATTTATATACGCACAAATGTATATATCTAATGTATACATCCAAATCACTAACTCAAAATGTAGCCACCTCTGAACTGGGACTTAGCAGTGGCAGCAAGCAGTAGTGTGAATAATCTAGAATGTACCCAGTTACTGAAATTCAGTAAGGAGATTTGCATTCTCTTACTTATGTTAATGAACAAATCCTTTTTAAGGCTACAATAATGTAGACAAACCCTGGGGAGGAAGAAAGATTTTTTTTAAAAAAAACACAATGGTTCTAAAATTATGGGGCTTATCAAAAGAGTCATTCCCAATGCTCCCTCTAAGCTGTGGAGTCTTGTGAGCAAAAATTCTACTTTGTGAGCTACTGGCATTAAAGTGGTGAGCAAGCGATTTGGCTACTGCATAAATTAGTTTGCTCTGGAGCTATCCTTCCTGAGCGAAGACAAAAATGTGTGAGCTGGAGGCTAAAAAACTGTGAGCTAGCTCACACTAACTCAGCTTAGAGGGAACACTGGTCATGCCTATTGTTTTCTAGACAGAAGGCTGCGTCTTGGAAGATTCCCAATCACATAACTATCAGATGCCACTGCGTACTCAAGCTTCAGGTTTTAAACAACAAAAGAGTGCAACTGTATCAGATGTAGCTGAATGTATATTTGCTCCAAATACCAAAACATGCTGCAGTCACTGACCTCCTGGTGCAATGGGGTGCATCAGTCGATTCATCTGGACATTCCAGTGCTTTACATTCGTGCTAGCTTGTTGGAGCTTCCGATGGGCCAACTGTAACAGAACGTTGAATAAGTAATTTATTTATTCATTCATTTACTTTATTTATAACCCGCCTTTCTCCCCAATGGCAACCCAAAGCAGCTTACATCATTCTCCTCTCCGACATTTTATCCTCATAAGGTCTGACAGTGTGTGAATGGCCCAAGGTCACCCAGCGATCTTCCATGGCAGAGGAGGGATTTGAATTTGGAATTACCCAGATCCGAGTCCAACACTTTAGCCACTATACCATGTAAGTAACACAATCAGATGATAAAAGAGCAAATACACTAGAAGAACACAGGCAGTGGAGAATTGCAAACCCTGAATTAGTTGCAAAGAGTTGTCATCATGCCTGCTGCACAAAGACTGTATAATAAGCTGGGTGGGGGGGTTTTCTGGGGGAATGCACCGGAATGGAGTTTTGGAACCTCTTCAACAAAATTCTTTTAAAAACGTTTAAAAGTTAATGAGTTTTCAGTATACGGACTGAAAATTTCATTTCCTTCATGAAAGTTCCGGCACTTCTTAAAAAAAAAAAAAAAGCCCTGATAACAAGAACACATGTTGAAATCAATAAAGGCAAACAGTATCATTGCGATTGGGGACCAGCGGTCCCGAAGGCACCCCCTTGAGTGTGGGGTGCCCCAGGGAGCTGTGTTGTCCCCTATGTTGTTCAACATCTATATGTGCCCCCTCGCCCAGATTGCCCGGAGGTGTGGGCTTCAGTGTCATCAATATGCTGATGATACCCAGCTCTATCTGATGTTAGGCGGCCAGTCAGACTCTGGTCTCGAAGACCTTCATCGGGCGCTACAAGCTGTGGCTGGTTGGCTCCGACTGAGTCGGTTGAAATTAAACCCAGCGAAGATGGAGGTCCTGGGCACGAGTCAGGGTGGTCTGGGGTTGGGGCTCCCTCTCCCTACCTTCGATGGGGTGCCTTTGGTGCCACCGCCGGAGGTTAGGAGTTTGGGAGTGCTCCTGGATTCCTCTTTATCTATGGAGGCCCAGGTGGCAGCCACTGCTAAGGCAGCTTTTTACCATCTTCGGCTGGTGCGGCAGTTGGTTCCCTTCCTTGACCGCGATGACTTGGCCACAGTGATCCATGCGACGGTCACCTCGAGGCTAGACTACTGTAATGCTCTCTAATGGGGCTGCCTTTGTCGCAAATCCAGAAGCTGCAGCTGGTGCAGAATGCTGCGGCCAGGCTGTTGATGGGTTTTCTTAGTAAGGATCACATCCGGCCTGTTCTGAAAGCGCTGCACTGGCTGCCGATAGCGTACCGGATTTGCTTCAAAGTGCTGGTTCTTACCTTTAAAGCCCTATATGGCTGGGGTCCAGCATACCTAAAGGACTGCCTTTCCTCATATGTTCCCCCGCGAGCACTACGGTTGGGGACGCAACAACTCCTGGTGATGCCAGGCCCCAAGGAGACCAGGCTGGCCACTACCAGGGCCAGGGCTTTTTTGGTGATGGCTCCTACCTGGTGGAACGAGCTCCCAGAGGAGATCCGGGCCCTGCGGGACCTTGCACAGTTCCGCAGGGCCTGCAAGACGGAGCTCTTCCGCCAGGCGTTTG